AAAGTGGGTGAGTACGCGAGAGAGCAGGTGGAAGAGCGGGTGAGCGGGCATTTGAGCGAGTGAGCAGTGTGGCCGGCAAGGGAGGGCGGCGCGCATTTGGGCGTTTGGGAGGTGGGCGGGTGAGCTGGCTGGTGGCCGGTGTGGTTCTGGGCGCGTTTTATGTGCATAATAACATGCGTGTTCCCCTCGCGCGCGTTCAGAAAGCGGGTAAACAGAGTAATACATAATTCATGGAGATGCTCGTCGCGCCTGAGGCGATCGTGCGATTGCTTCGGTTGCCACAGAAGACCCGGGAACTCTTCCAATACACTCCTTCTACTGATGGTGGCGATGGTGTTGATGGTGGTGGTGTGGTAGATGGAAATGTAATCGCTGTTAATGATGGTACTTTTACCGGTTCTGGTGGTGGGGATGGTGGTTCTGGTGGTGCTACTTGTGGTGATGTAGATGTAAGTAGTTCTCGGGGTTCTGGATGTTTTAGTGATGCTGTTGGTGCTGATGGTAGTGCAGCTCCTGCTTATGGTGGTTTTGGTGGTATCGCTGCTGCTGGAGATAGTGCTAGTTGTGGTGTTGGCAGTGTTAGGTGTTCTGATAATTTTGGTAGTGCTAATGGTATCGTACTGCTGCTCCTGGGGATGGTTCTACAGGTGACAGTTATGATGGATGTGATGAGACCGCCACTGTGATGGCGACTCTGATCCCCTGAATCTTTGTGCAATTTCTGACGGCAATCGAGGTTGGTGATGATATATTGGAAACTGTATTTCCATTGTTTAATGGAATGGTTGAAGTTATAGCCTGTTAGTAAGTAATTGGTCATTGAATGATTTAATAATTATTTTATTAAAAATATAAAAAGTTGAAAATTATGAACTATATTCATATCAAATTAATGACAATTAAAATTCAAATACCAGAAGAGAATTCCAAATATTTCGGATTGGTAGGATCTCTCTCTGCTACTCAAACACAGTATTCCTCTTTACTTTAAGTAGTACATTTCCACAGTACCTGTTGTTGACTTTGTTAATTGTTAAAGGTTTCGTTCTTAACGTTTCGTTCTATTCAGCTAAATCCTAGATCACTGAATTGCATATCTCAGTGCCCAAACCTGGATATATAAGGAATGCTATATCGTTGTCCGCCAAAGTCAGAAACTTGTCGAGATACTTGTGATTTAGTGTAAAAGTATAATATCTGTAGGTAGATAATTTTGTAGTCAGTAATAAGCGTTGTTAAACGTTTATGATTCGAGGGAAAATAATATTTTCAAGTAAAAATCATAACTATATAGAATAGTCTATTTATACTTTCTTCTCAAAAGTAATTTGTTTTCATGACGGTATTTTGTTGTATTTATTCATTTAGTTTCACAGCAACAGTTACGACTCCGTGTCAACACAGCAAATTGAGAACCCTCACCTGAAAAACCATGTTCACAAATTCGCCCAAATTCTTTGTTCATTACGAAAGTTCCATTGAGACGCCAAAGGTAAGTAACAATAAAGCGTTCCAATCGCCTGACTGCACTTTCTCCTCTCTGCACAGTTCTCTTGTGCCTGGGGGATGTAAGTAACCTTAAAAAGCAGAGTGCCTCAACGTTACCTTTCGCTGTTTTGTCTCGTGCTCATATTATTTTTAGACATCTGTGTGCGCAGAGGGAGGTCCGCGGGAGGGCAAAGTCTTTCTGAACATTATGAAAGCCTCTTTTTAACCTTATGTAATAAATCATTTTATTACCGTAAGATGTTCAATCCTGAGTTCTCTTTTCATCCAGATAATTATTATAGGATACTTCGGGCTATCTGACAACTCTATAATTGAGGGGTTTCTTACAAGAAAAAAACCTTACAAGAAGTCCAAAATTCCATGTTTTGATTATTTCACGAAGTTATTCCTTACAACTAGCGCTATCTGATAGGACATTTCCGTTCGGTAAGTGCCAAATACATTGGAAGATATGAGGCGGGGAAAATCATAAATGCATTATTATGGACGTCTATGCTATGACGTTTTTGGTGCCTACTGAAATCTCGAATTTGATTTAGTTTGTTTCTTGTAAAAAACCCTTCAATTGGTTCAATTTAAAATAAAATGTATTTATTAAGTGTTTCATTTATTACAAATAGGTCATATGCAAATAAAACGTTTAATCGAAAAAGGAACCCAGAAATGTAATTGGCTTCCCCTTATTTTAGATTCTATACACCTACAGACTCATGCCCATTTTCTTATTTTTATTGTCGCAATTGGAAAGAGGTCTGGAGTCATTTCTATAATTTTCTCACTTGTTTGCTATTTCCTGACATTGTCACTGAACACAGTGATGTGTT